TCACCATGTCTGCAGCCCTTTCAGAGGTCCCCTGGGCCGTGCTGGTCCCTCCCACGCTGGACACCTCAGCACCTTACATCCCCCTTTGTCACACACTGTCCTAGCTGTGCCAGGGCTCTTCCCAGAGTAAGACCAAGTCTTACGCATAACAGCTGCTCAGACGACGTTTAGTGATCAAGTGTTTCAATGGTCTCTTTAAGGACATTTTGCTTTGCGGGAGGGGCTTGTGCGGAGATGTGCAGGGTGCAGAGCAAAGCGGGGTCGGCGCCCAAATGGGCTGCCACAGGCTTTGGGCTCTTCCGTCGCCCACTGTGAGGGCTGCTGTGGCTCTTTGCTTCCTGTGCTGTAGGGCTGGCTTCTTACGCTTCCTTTTTTGGTTGCTCCAGGCCACCACCCCTCCTCCTCCATGCCACTTGCTTCCTGAGATGGGCAGAATAAGGACAGTTGCTTGCATTTTTCCCTTCTGTGATCTGATTCCAGAGGGTCTTATCATGCATACATTTCTTTTCCATCTGATTTTATGTCCATATTTAAATCATGCTTGGGGAAGTCATTTATCGGGTTCCCTCAGGCTCATGGTAGAGAGTATATGAGATCTTTGGTCAGCTTAATATATTTGTATTAAAAATTAATAAGAAAGCTATATATTTGTAACCTTAAATCAAAATTTGATTTAATTCATTTTATTTAATATACAACCACAATTCTAAAATTACTTTTTAAAAACATGTGATGAGATTGAAATCAGTTCTGGGACCCTATCTTTATTCCTGAGTGAACCGTGGCTGTCATGTGGCAGACAATCTGTGCTGCCATTTCTCGTGTGACATTTAGAGTCAGTACACGGGTGCAGCAACCACCTCAGAGGCTTCAAATGAGTCCTCTGTGGAAGATTATGTGCAGGCTTGTTTTAAATGCTACCATTAAAAAAATAAAATTTAATGGAAAGAGATAAGCTTCTCCCAGCACAAGCCAGCTCCGATTTTATATTTCCTTAATCTGTTTTATGTAGTGCTACAGGAAATTAAACCAAAATCGTCCTCTCTGGGGCGCACATGTGTGGCAGTTGGGAGGAGCCAAGAGAAGGGAGACAGAGCTACAGGGAATAGTTGCTCTGGTTTGTCAGAGATTTATTGTAACTCTCTATTTTGGGGGGGACCTCCTCATGTTCCTGCTGGGGGGAAGAGCCGTGGCCGCCGTGGAGAGCCAGCCCGGGCCCACGGCCCCACAGGGCTCGCTTACTGCATGCCTGCTCCCCCCCTCCTCCGGTGACATCTACGCCCAGATGCCGTCCAGGACAAGGACCAGATGTCCTCCGTCATCAGGTCTGGGGTTCGGCTTACTGTCTGCTCCGCATGACACATCATTCACACACACTCACAGGACCGTCACTGACATATTTTGCACATCGCCAAATCTTACTTCTTTTTTTCCTTATCTTTCTCTCCTTTTCTCTCCCACCCTGTCCGTCACTCGGAGAAAATGACAGGGTTTACTGGTTCATCATATCTGCATTTAGTTTTACCTTCTAGATTTTTTGTCAGTCTCTTTAAATAGGTCCTCTGCCTCCAGCTACCCTCATTTCCGCCCCGCTTCTGGCCACCCCCATGGATAAGATCTTCAGTCATAATATCTCAAATCCTACACACACACATCCAGGGGCTGCCTCCTGCCCTACCTTCACTTCCTGTACTGTACTCTCCACCAGATAGGTGAACACAGGACAGCATCAGCAGCATCTTAACCAGGAAGACCCATTGGGCCCTCGGTGTATCTCAGAAGCCACATCTAGGAGACCCTCCAGTCCCTCCCCTTAGTCCCTGCAGGCTGTTCGCTGGTCGAGGCTGCACAGTGCAGTCCTGGAGTGAACACCGAGAGCCAAGTACTCGCCTGGGCCAGCCTCTCAGGCCAAACAGGAGGCCTCTGGACCAGATGGTCATCGTGGCCCATCCATTAGGAAGCAGGCAGGGAGACGAGGAGGTGAGGCCTGGGCAGACCCTTCCAGACGGTGGCTCTGCAGTTCCAGAAAGGCTGGGGACTGGACGCCTCCTGCTGATACTCAGGCACTTGCCCTGCTGTAGGACGAGCAGGTCTGTCCCTTTAATGCCAACGAAGACTCTGGATCAGCCACAGTTAACTTTGGCTCCTGAGGAGCAGACCTTATTCTTAAAGATGGAAGCAGAGCGAGTGTGACATCATCAGATGGGAGGTTACCATGTTTGAAAACGCACAGCTCAGCCTTACCTTGTCAGAGCGCTACAAAGATCACTTCATGGTTTGGTCTCTGAGTCAGATCACTGAGGAGCACAGATCCTTCTCCCGGTGAGGAACTTGGAGAAATACAACCAGGAGGGCAAACAGAAGCTAGTGTGAAAGTTCTTGTGAGAAACAAGGCCAGGGCCCCGCCCAGCAGAGGGCATGCGTGGCGGCCGCGAGGGAGACGAGCCCTTGCAGACAGGCCCGGCCCTTCCCTAGACTACCCGTGTGGGGCAGTGTGGCTGGTCATTGCTCTTTCTGCAGAGAGCTTTCCAGGCAGTGCTTCCGGCTTATTCGTCTTTCTTATTCATCTTCCTTTGCCAGATCACACGTACATCTGGCCCTGTGCTGAGCAGAAGGGAAGAGAATGTCTAAGCCCGCTTTCCCACGAAGAAAGAGCATTTCCCAGGAAGGACTTGAGGCATCTCTCTGATCTCTTTTTATAGTTGTGCTCACACATTAGATGTCCAGACTGATGGAGGACCCAGGACAGTGCCCCAGGGGAAGGAAGGGTAGAGGGAGAATAAAGCATGAGACATTTGTTCCCCAAATGGCATCAAACGCTTGTTTTTGATCTTCAGCCCAGAGAGATCTCACAGAGCATGGCCACCTGCAAGGTGTGGGCTGCTCCCAACAACTCCTCACTCCAAGATCTGCAGCCCGGGACTTGCTTGCAGATACCGTACGCCCGCGAGGCAGGCCCACTCTCGTTAATAAGAAACGAATCCCCACCAGCCAGAATCTCAACACCAGGCACCTCCTGGGTTTTCCGGCTGGGATGTCAAGGGTGGGGGGCCCGCTGTGAGGTCTCTTCCAGGCTGGGGGACCAGGATCTGAGGTGGTGGGCCTTTCTTTTCCTTTCTCTTTTTTCTCTCTCAAAGCGAAATCTAAACGCCATCTGCCTGCCTGTTCTCCTTCACTCTAGCCTCAAGGGAACATTTTCAAGAAGCAGAAAAGCAGCCAGGGACACAAGCTGAAGGCACTGGTACATCTGAGCACCTTGCTTCTCTGGTTTCTCCTCTGTAGAATGAAGGGCTCATGCCCCCCAAGGTGCTTCTCAGCTCCAGTCTCTATGACTTTAAAGATGTTTAAAGATGTCTCACCTTAGGAATTTGCCTTCAGCAAATACTCAGCAAAGGCAACAAAGCCCTATGCTGAAAGATCACCTCTTATCATGACAAAAAGTTGGAAGGATCTAAATTTCCAACATAAACATGATGGGATTAATGGTACTCAGCCATTCAAATGGTAGCTGTATTGGCTGTAAATTAACATTGACTGATAAATCGTTGTTATTGTTTGCTGAGAGCGTACTTATCAGTTGTTCTTGGCCCTCAGGGCAATTAGACTCTCTGGGGCCCAAACCTCACCCCCAGAAGGCAGGCTTCAGAGGCTCTCCTGTAGGGTCTCTTTTGAAGCTCCCTGGTTGTCAGTACTGTGCAGCCAAGGCTGAGAGCCACAGTACTGTGTGCCAGGTACTTTTTGGGTACTGAAAAGCCACCAGAGTGATGTCTCTACCTGTCTCCTGAAGACACATCGCATCGAGTACAGTGGGTCTGATGCCTCTCACTTCGCTCAGCGCCCCCATTTGCACGTTGCAGGAGGATACTGTTTGTCTCTAATTTATTTATTGTGAAAAACACCTTTGGGGGGTTTCTAGTGATTTATTGCTTCATAACAAACCATCCCAAAACTTACCAGAGTATACCTACCACCACGTCATTGGGCTCACAGATTATTTGGGTCAGGAATTCAAACAGATCACAATAAGAATGGCTTGCCTCTTTCCACGCCGTCTGGGGTTCCAGCTGGGCAGACCGGAAACTGGCTGTCTTCTGCCTGGTGGCTGGAATCATCTGGAGGCTTCTTTATGCACATTTCTGGTGTCTAGACTATGCTGTCTGGAAAGACGGGCTCAGCTAGGACCGTCGGCCAAGGACCTACACGCGGCCCGTCCGCGTGGCTTGGGCTCCCTCACAGCATGGAGGCTCATGAACCAGGAAGAGGCCGCGTGGCCTCTTTTGTTAGCCGTGGGAGGCGATGCCCCTCCTCCCATCGTACTCTGTCATCGAAGCGGTCACGAGCTATCCAGATTTCAGAAATATTTTACAGGTAGAATTGATGCTTTCGTGATAGATCGAACATAGAGAACGAAGGCGAGAATCGTCAAAATACCCGTGCTATAATGTCATATGACATAACAAGAACACAAAAATGTATGTCCGTGACAATAACAGTGCATGTACATGAGAATCGAATGCATCTTAAGGTGGGAGGGGCATGATATTTCATCATTAATATTAATTATTTTACTAACTCTTCTTGAACCTCTGTAACTACCCACCAAACCTATGTACTGACAGTCCCTGAAGACCGTGGCTCGATTCCGGGCCCCGGCATGCCTCAAGTCTCGAGTCTGCTTTCCAGGCACCACATTAAAAACATCGTGCCCATCTCTGGTAAAAAACACTGATAAAAATCAATGTTTTCATATTTGCTTCCAAGCAACAAAGTTAATGTCCATTTTGACAAGAAGCAGAATTTTCAGACGTTATCTTTACTATTTGTGTTAAATGACATTTGTATCTACTATTCACTTCCGAATACATCCCCAACACAAGTTTTATCCTGAATCCTCACCCGGCTTGGAGAACCACCGCACCCCGGACCCGGGCCTCAGGGGAAGATGAGAAGTGGGCGGGGCCCCACGGGGCTCTAATCTGTCTTCTGTCTTTTCCCGTTAGGCTTTTGATATTATGAGAGTGACACACGGCAGAGAGCACAGCCTGATCGAAGATCTGATCCTACTCTTGGAAGAATGCGACGCCAACATAAGAGCATCCTAAGTGAGCCAGACAGGCAGGAGGACGGCCTCTGCCTCGACTGAACGCCTTACCGAGATCACACGCTCTGCGCTGCGTTTGCCGTGTGACCCGCCCCTGTCGGAAATGCTGTTCTGTGTTTATGTAGGTAAATAAGGTGGACATATGGTTTGCAAACCACAAGACTCATTAGTTGTAGAGAAGCACGATTATAATAAATATTTAAAAATTCGGTTGAAAAATGCCATCTGGTAATTGTTTTCTTTGCTTACTCATTGGTAATTTTAATGTTTAAGATATCAACTTTAAAGATAGAAAATCCTATTACAGGCGTGACCATAACATCCTCTTTGGATATGTGAAGGGATAAATGGATAAAAATCAATGTTTTCATATTTGCTTCCAAGCAACAAAGTTAATATCCATTTTGACAAGAAGCAGAATTTTCAGACATTATCTTTACTATTTGCGTTAAATGATATTTGTATCTACTATTCACTTCCGAATATATCCCTAACACAAGTTTTATCCTGAATCCTAGAAAGTAGTCATTTTAGGTGTTATTAGAGGATAGGGAATCTTAGTGGAAAAGAAAAAAAAAAAAAGGTTTTTCAGACGTCTCATGGCTCTTCGTGTAACTCATTCTGAACGTTTTATAAGCCTTTGTGTATGTGATGCTTTTTTTCTCTCTATTTCCTACGTCTGTGGTTTGACCACATGATCCCCATAGCACGAAGCTCCGTTACTCCGCAGAAAGCAGAGCTCTGTCGTTCTAGCTCAAATCAGACTGGCTTCGCTTCCTTTTCTTGTCTGTTCTTTCCCAATTCTGTGGCCTGCTTTTCCACCTTTCTGCTTTATATAAATACAGAAAACCTTTCCTTTTCCTCCAGCCAAACAAAAAGGTAAATGCCTTCTCGGCTCAGTGACCATGTGTGCAGTTTTGTGCTCCTGCTCAGTTGGGACTTAGAGTCTCCGAAGCCCTTGGATCTCTGCAGCCGAAAGCAGAGCCTCTTGGCAGCCTCACCGTATTTTACAAGCGAGAAAACAAGATGCAGGGCATGATGGGAGAATCCAGAGTGGCGACTCATGTGCCCTCCATCTGGTTCAGGAGCTCTCCCCACTCTCACGGGGATAGGGGGGCCGCGAGGCCGCCAGTCACGTGGCTGCACTGCGGCAGGTGGCACCGTCAGAATGACACGTGGACATCTGGTCGAGCCAGAGGGAACCGAAGGGACCAGCCTCATTTTGCAGCTGACCAAGCTGATGACTGGAAACTGGAGTCCGCCTGCCGAACACGCCCGGTGAGCACTCCGATCGTGGGGACCTGCGTGACGTCCTGCAGGCTGGGGAGCTCTACGGCCTTTCCATGCGCTCGCTTCGGCTTGAGCACCGCCTGTCAAGTGTCAGGCACATCCATCCGTGGGCACACAGCATCCCCAGGAACCACAGCAGCACGACGCGGGAGGTGTTCCAAGGCCACTCGATCAGTAAGGGAACCGGCCTGGAGCAGGTGCTCCGGGGCCTCGTGACTTACCGAGCGGCTTTAAGAGAGGGGCGTGATCTCGGTCTTTCTGAGACCAGTTCTACCCAGTTCAACAAATAGGTATTGAATGTTACTGCGTTTTTAGGAAAAAGAGAATCAAAGACCAAATAAGACATGCCCACGGTCTGGTATAACATTTGTATCAGGTTTTACCGTATAACAAACACTACCCCCAAATGACCTGAGTGAATTTTGTTCACGATTTGCTGTGTCCGCAGGCTGGGCTGGAGCGTTCTTCAGGGTTGGCCCGGGCTCCACATGTCTCTGCCCCTGCAAATCCTGTCACAGGACGTGGGAACGTGGAGAGGATGACACGTGGCCATTTGCCATAGCAAAGCGCAGCGGCCCTCAAGCTCTTTGGGTCGTGGGGAACATTTAGTGAATTTGGTGAAATCCATGGCCCTTCTTTGTAGAAAAACAGATACATCTGAACAGTTTGCTGTTAGGATCTGGGATTCTTGGACTCCCTCTGGCCTATCAATGGACTCCCTGGGGTCTTTCATCTAATGAAAAGAAGACTTGCTACCTTTCAAAAACGCTGGTGGCAATTATATTGGTTCCTCGTTTTAAATTCATTAGGAAAAGAAAAGTCGTAACAGAAGGTAGAGAGAGTGTTACACGCCAGATGAGCAGAGTTCACCGATAGAACCCTGTGTTTGCCAATTTTCTGAATGAAATTGATCCGTCAGCGATGATCCTGGATTAAGAGATTTGCTTTCACGCCTCCTAGAGAAAGTACATGGGCTTTTAAATCCCTCTCGGCTGCTTCTCGTTTTCTGAGGAAAGGACCCTCATGTGGGGGAGAGGCGTAGCAGGCATCAACTTTTAATGGAAAGCAAACATTCGAGCCACGGTAAACATTTACAGCAGGATAATTTTGGGGAAGAGGAAAGGGGATAGAGAACGTAAGTTAAAATTCACGTCACCGGCGGCTGACGATTTATTGCCGCCCCAGCCTCCACGACGGCTGTTTCACTGATCCACGGGCATCATAGCGGCAGCCTTTTCTCTCATCAGTAACTTGACGCCATTAGTTGCTCCTCTGGGATGAGAACACATTTAAACTGAAAATGTACATGCTGGGCATAATTTATAGCCGTGCCATGTGAATGCTAAGAGTGGGGGAGAGGGAGGCTGCCTGGGACGCCTGCTCAGCCTGGGAGCACGGGACAGGTTTCCGCTAGCCAGGCCAGAGCTCTGGGTGGGCAGAGAGGCCGGCCATACCCTGCTGCAGCCAGCCAGGCAGCCACGAACCACAGAGCCCCTCAATCGAGCGTCGCTGTGGGGATGGAAGTTCCATACGCGGGAGCCCGCCCCTGAGTTATGTTCTGAGTTTTTTTGTCTGGCCCAGTCAGGAAGTGATGTTTTACTCACTCAGAGTGGCCCACTGAGATTCCACGGGGAGACGTTTCTAGGCATCGTGGGGCATCATGAAATCCTATGACTAGCAATCACTGGCGGAAGCTTCGGGAAAACACTGGAGCCCTCCTTTGCCCGAGGTCTGAAAGAGATCAAACTGGTTGAGGAGGACCAGCTACGCCATCCCAAACTGGGATGCTCCCTCAACCTTCGTTAAGTTTGTAAGTGTCAAGATGCTACTGATGCGCAGCCAACATATTCAAAACCGACGCAAAACGTATCAAAACCAAATTCTCCTCATCATCCTTCCACACTTCAGCACAGAAACTTAGTCACTGACTCTCTTTTTCCTTTATCAAAGCAACGAGCTCTGTCTACTTGTCCTCTGAAGTGCTTTTTAAAATTTCAGCCATTTGTATCGTTGGTCCATCCCCAGGCCGTTCGTGGGCCCCAGCTCCTCGTTCCTTAGCCATTGTGGAGACCTCCTCATTGACCTCACCTGCTGTCCCTCCCTGGCCTGTCCTCCGTCACAGCTGCCAATCATCTCCCCAAAATACCTACTTCATCATTTCCTCTTATAACTCCTCTCTCAGAAAATTTCAGCGGCTCCCTATTGCCCCTAGACTCAAAGTTCAATCTTCACCCTGGCACCGATGGTCTCGAACTCCCGAATCTCATTCCC